CCCTAAAGTTTCACAATAGAACTTGATTACAATAACTTATATAACTTATTGAAGTTACTGTCAGAAGCAAGATAACTTATTTGTCAACTAACCCCTAAAGTTTCACAATTGTAAATAGCAGAACTTGATTACAATACAGTAACTTATTAAAGTTACTATCAGAAGCAAGATAACTCATTTGTCAGCTGACTTAACACCCCTAAAGTTTTACAAGATATTCACAATAGTAAATAGCAGAACTTGATTATCAAAGATTACTGTAATAAGAAATAAGATATTTTAGGAAAATAAAATTTTATTGGTTCATATTACTGCAATCAAAGCAAGATAATTGTCAACTGACTTAACGCCCCTAAAGTTTTACAACAGTAAATAATTGATGCATTTAAAGCAAGATAACTATTGTCAACTGACTTAATGCCAACTCATTTGTCAGCTGACTTAACACCCCTAAAGTTTCACAATAGTAAATAATTAATGCATTTAAAGCAAGATATTGTCAACTGACTTAATAGAACTTGATTACAAAAACAAAAATACCATAAAAATTTATTCGTTTTTTTGCATTAATTTCTATTTAAATTGTCAAAATTAAACTTATATTCTTTTATCGTAGTAATTTAAGAAAAAACCGTACAACTAATTCGAGGTTCCAACCAGTACATAACATATTTGGAATACATTATTCAAGTAAACAGACTTGACCACGGGTTGGATTTTGATTCTAAATTTAATACCGATTCGGTTCATTCAAATACCGGTATTGTAATTCGCACTCACAGCAATCTTTTTTTGAATTATTAGTTTGGATAACGAAGTTTTGGGTACGAAGATGAAAACGTTCTAATGACAAAATCAAATTAAGAAACTAAATTGATTATTCGAGAAGTAAAATTTTATTTGAAGTTTATGTATTTTATTTCATAAAACTGGATTAATTGCTTCTTAGATTTTATGACTGTGTGCTCGATGGGCCGGTCAAGAACGTGTGCTCAATGGGCTGTTCTTTTACTTTTAAATATAGAATAACGTTTTCCAACAATAGAAATTACAAAATAATCTGTCGCATAGACTAACATCGAAGTTCATTTTTATTATTAATTGTTTATATATTCACTTATACACTTTTTTACAAATAATTATAAACCGGCGAGGCCGTGAAAACAAAAAAATCAAACCATTCAACAAATATAACCAACTTTTTCCAAATTCTCAATAACAATCGAAGCTGTGTGTTGTAACACTTCAAGATATTTAACGCTGCCACTGCTATAACAAAAAAATGCCAAAACGAATGTAAACCATTTTAGAACTTGAACCATACTAAACAAGAGAAGTAATCACATTTTGTCTTTTTGACTATTTCATATATTCACTTTACACTTTCTATAAAGAAATCAAAGACTGGTCTATTATTATTAGTGGAGCTGATGATATTGGCTGACAATGATTATTAAATAATAGACTAGTTAGTGAATGGAGCTGATGATGTTGGCCATTCACTTCAATTAACAATATCTCACATGATGAAAAAATTGAAACTGAAAGACTTGAATGAAAAAATTATATTATAAAAATTAATTGAAAAGATTAACAACACTTCATATTTTATTTAATCACTAGTTTCAAAATCTTCTTCTACCTTATAAATGAAAGCATCTTGTCTACGCAACCTTGGAATAACTTGACCTAAATGTTTAATTATTAATGTTATATAAACAAAAGTAAAAACATTGCAATCTTCTGCATATTTTACCTTGGTTGTTTAATACTGCTGTAAAAATGTTCTTTCGATTCTTGAGAATATTAACCTGATTTCTAAGATTATTGATAGTTCTTCTATTAATCGCTTGCTCATATTCGAGATCGCGACGAAGTTGTGTATTCTCTTGTTCTAGCTCTCGTATCAGAGCTAAAAATTGCCTTTTTTCAACATAAAGTTCATTTATTATTCAATTTGCAGTCCTTTGAGTGTTTTGAAGCTGCCTTATCTGTACTCTAAAGTGATCACTTTCTTCTATGATTGTTTCTAAGGCTCTCAATTTTACTTCTAAATTTTCACATGTTATTCTGTTTTCCCTAAAAAAAGGTTTGATTCTCCTTTTTTCACTTCACAAAAATTCTACGTGTTCTACTAAAAATCATTCAAGGTTTTCATTAGAAGTTAGGTTATCAAAGCGTGTATGTCTGTGATTTCGTGGCATGAATTTTTTTTCTCTTTGAAAATGATCATATCTTACTTAACAGTATATATACTACTATTTCAAAAACTTTATCTGAAAAATTTATTATGATTTTCCTTATTAAAATCCCACGTAACAATGGCTCAGAGGTCATTTTGCTAGTAAAGCTCCCATATA